TTCTGATAACGCCACCAATTTCCAATTTGGTGCCAAAATTATTAAAAAATTAAGTGACCAAACCTGGTGCACCCAAGAAGTGCAACAATGGATTGTTCACAGAGGCACTCAATGGAAATTTACAACCCCGAGGAACCCCCGCGAGGGAGGTGCTTGGGAAAGAATGATAGGAGTTGTGAAAAATGCTTTGAAAAGAAGTGTGGGGAAGAAGCTATTGGACCATGTCGAGCTTGCAACTCTTTTTAGTGAGCTCGAGGCAATGGTCAACAGCCGCCCCCTAACCTATCAATCAGATGGCGAGCCCTTGAGGGCTATTCGGCCAATTGATTTCCTAATTCCATATGCTCCGCCTGAAATAAATTTTGCGAATATAGGAAACGATTCTGATTATGAGGAGGAAATGAGTAGAGAGAAAGGATTAAAAAATATGAGAGAAATTAATTAAAAATTAAATAAATTTTGGGACTTTTGGAAATCCCAATATCTCCTCTCTCTTAGGGAAAGAGGTGAGAAAATTGGTAAAAATACTGGCAAGGAACCACAGGTCGGGGAGGTCGTTATAGTTGAGGAAGACCTACCCCGCCCTTTATGGAAACTCGCTCGAATAATCGATTTAATTCGAGGACGAGATGGAATAATTCGAACAGTTAAATTAAATATATTAGGAAAAATTTTTAAAAGAAGTATAACTCAAATTTTTCCTTTAGAACTGTCATCAGAACAACAACTACCAAGGCTTCGACAACCTAAGGATCGAAATATAGAAGAAGAAATGGATTCAAGTTCTGAAGAAGATACACCTTTCCCTGCCCGAGCTCGACCAGCCAAAAAACTTGGTCGACCAACCAAAGTGCCCGAAATTATTATGATGGCAACAGTAGAATCTAGTCTACCACCAACAATGCCTTCTGTGAGAGACATGAGAGAAGAAAGGACTCTAAAAAATTCTAGGAAAGAAAAGGAGAGAGAAGAAGAAGAAATTCAAATTCTAGAAGCTCCTCAAATTCCAATTCTCCCAGCAGTAAGAGATAGAAGGGAAGATAGAGCTCTAGAAGAAACAAGAAAAGAAAAAGAAGAAAAACGTAATGGAAAGAAGCGCAAAGCGGTGCCTGATTTAAATTTAGTAGTAGAAGAAAGAGGGGGGAAGAAGTATAGTAGCCGAAAATATGGTCATGATTTTAAAGGCAAATTTAAAATCCCCTTTAAACCAATAATAAGATATGGACGTGTAATACCTCGAAATTCTGCTAAACCACCTGGCGTCAATATGCTTGATAGAACACTAGCGTCTGTTAATGCTTCAAATGCTAAGAGGGATCGTCTAATTGCAAAGGGAAGAAAGGACTTGGACGACAGCAAATTTTATAAAACTCAAGACGCATCCCTTAAAAAATACCAACAGAGATATGATCGAGATAAACACGATCGATGGAGAATAAAACAGAAGGAGCAGATTGCTACTTTGGCTTCAAGAAGAGAACGCCAAGTAGTTGAATTAAAGAAGGATTATATGTGGCCTGCCCCTGAAATAGAAAACGAAGTATGGGGCTATGATATTTTTTCTAAATGTGAAGGGCCTAATCATTTGGAATGCATCAAATCGACAACTTCTAGTAGGACTGCGCACTCTCGACGCCTTCCCATCCAAGTTACTTTTCCAATAATGACAACACTTGTTCATTATTTGGTGTTCAACTGGTTTGGAAGGCAAAAATTTGGAAATAATCAAATTTGGGAAGGAATCAGGGATCAACTCTGTGAACCTGAATTAAATCCGATGTGGCTGCTTGTAAAATTTTGGCAATATATCAAAATGGATCCGAAAAAGGCCTTCAAGGATAGATTTCTTATTGACATCCTTGTGCTTCGAAGAATGAATTGTAAAATTTTCCAACATCAATTCAACTACCATTGGAATGGCCAAATTAAGCTTCAGGAGCCGGCGAAAACCCCAATAGAAGAACTCAATGAATGGGCCAAGTATATTACTAGGATGTTCTCAAAATTATTAACGAAGCGCAACTATCAGCGATGCAAAGGAAATATCACTTTGCGATTATATGAAGCGCCTTTTATCATCGCGGCTGACACTTCGATTCAATCTGTGGTTAATTGGTGTGACAATCCTGGGGATTGTCGTCTGGTCTATTTTGATGGTGAAACTGATCTACACACCATTATTTATTTTGGAATCAAATCAACGGACCTTTTTATCGTTGTGAAACCCGATGATGAAATAATGGCATCAATTGATAGGTCCTTGAAATTCTGGAGAAGGGCTGGTGTCCCAATAAAAATTACTCTAATTCATAATGAAAATAAAATTTATTTGGAAAGGAAGAAATATGAAGAGCAATTCCTAAATATGGCAGAATCTTATAATACTGGATATCTATATTATAATGGCAAATTTAAAAATTTAAAGAAGGCTAAAGGGAAAATTTTGGGAGAAACATATATTGATGAAGATTCTGAGGAAGAACCTGGACCAATGGCTCAAAAAGTAAAGCCAGCTGCTCCTAAAAATAATTTGCAACAACCGCTCCCACCACAACAACCTCAACAGCAACAAATAATTCAACAACAGGAAATGCTTCCCATTTCGGCGCAGCCACAAGTCCGACCACCTTTGGAGGAACGACTGAAGGAATTGTTACAACGAATTCAACAAAGAACGCCTTCTACCTCTGGTTCTACAAATAATTTGCAACAACAACCTTCTACTTCAACACAGTCAACTTCAAGACAAAGTGGATCATTATTAAAAAATTTGGGAACACTGGCTCTTATTGTATTAATTATTTGCTGTTTATTTGGATTAACAACGCAAGAAGTGACCAGAACCAGAGTTCGAACACCTTCAGGCAGCAAAACAGTTTATAAGGTACGTGCTTCCCCACAAATGTTGCAAACTTATAAAGAGCAACATCAAGAAATAGATAGATTTAGAAGAAAAAATATAATAAATGAAATAAAAAATGGGGAACCCGTATTTTGGTGCGCGACGCAATCAAGCGCTCTGTGGAAATTCCCTTCTAAAGAGGAAGCCACATTTTGTAATAAGGATAAATTTCGAAAATGGAAAAATTTCGGTTTCGAAACTTATTCTCAAATTACACACCCTGAACCCGTTGAAGGATTAATTTGTTCCGCAAAATATACCAAAGAAACTTATTACACAAATTTTTTGGGTGATAAATTTCTTCGGTTGGAACAAAATTTACTTCCTATTTCAAAGGAATATTGCTTAAAAATGAGGGAAAATAAAATATGCCCTCTAAATAAAAAGATTATGGAAAAGAAAGATGGAATGTGGAAAACAGAGGAAGTCTTGAATATAGATTTCCCAGGAAGATTTTCTTCCTTTTTCTGGGGTGAAAAATCCTCAGAGGTTGTTAACTGTATGTTACAACCAACCACACTCCATTATAATCCTCAAACTCTAGAAATGGTTTCTCCACTTTTTGAAATTAAAAAGTGCCATTTCATGACTGACTTTTGTCAGTTATCTGACAATTCGAGTCTCATTTGGGAATCAAATTGTGAGACTAGGAATTGCAAAAGTTGTTTCTATGAATATTTGGGAAGGTGGGAAGGAGATTATAGCCAGGCAAATGAAAGAATTGTTTGGATCTCCAACACAAAGGAAATTGCGCTCTCGTTCAATTATGAAGCTTCTCGAGAAATTGCTTGCAATGGTCGAGCTGTTAGAAAATCTGATCAAGGATTTGCCATTGACGAGAAAGAATTTATTAAAATGTTTACCTCAAGGCAGAAGCGTTCTGTCGACGAGGAACAACTTGCGGCTGAATTAACAGCCACGGAAATTGCCCTAAAGGAATTTTATGATAAAATTATGGAAGAAAAATGCCGTCAACAAATTGTAAGACACGATAATCCAACTTATCATGTCCGACAGGCATTCCATAAGAAGGCTCTTGTTGCAACCTGGTTAAATGAGGATACGGCAGAAGTATTTTCATGTGCTCCTATCGATTGGAGCAGCATTAAATTTCGACCGGTCGATAGATGTTATAAATATATTCCGGTGGAAGTAAATCTGCATAACCGGACTCAAGTCGGATTTTTAGACCCCGAGCTGCGTATTTTGTCGGAGTCTTCTCTTCCTGCAGATTGTGAACGTTATCGGTTACGTTATTTGAATATAGGCCCGAACCAATGGATTCGGGTTAACACTCAAACAGGCCTTTGGGACAAAGTGGAACAGTCGAAGCTACATATTTTCCAGGATAATGTTACAGCTCCGGATATGAGTGTGTCACCTATAGTATTCCATGAGTGGGTACTTAGGAATACCACTGAGGAGCCGCTTTTTGTTCATGTGAATGAACTGTCCCAATATGAAACTTGGAAATCCTCGGTTAATACCGTGGAATCAAGTAGAGCAATTGCTCTTGGTGCCATGCCAGGAGGACTGGAAGGCACAATTAAGACTTGGCTTTGGAGCAAGTGGAAGCTTTTTGTAGACTGGTGGATGATTTGTAGCTGCCTTTTCTCCACCTTTTTATTTTTAAGGGACATTGGAGTCCCACTTTTGACAGTCTATTTTCTCTTCCCTGTAAGAACGACTATAATGTCGCTCTTAGGAAGAAGACAGACTGAGAATCCTCCTCGTAGAAAAGAAACTCGGAGGAATCGAGTCTCTCAGGACGAGGTTGAATTATCCTCTATTGCACCCCGCAGGCAGCGAATTAACTACTTTCCGCGCAGAGCTTCGAACGAAACAATTCGAACTCTAGGCACGGAAAGTGTCATTGCTCCCTCTATGATTAGAGGGCGCAAATAAATAAGAGAGAGAGAGAGAAAAAAAAAATAAAAAATAATAAAAAATCAATAAAAAATAAAAATACAAAAATATTTAATATTTGGAAGAATTTGTATATATGTTACAATAATTTTAAAAAAAATAATAATAAATTAAAATATTAAAAAATATTTCTTTAATTAAATAAAATTAATAGATTTTCAACACTGAACAAATGTGTTACAATAAAGTGTTGGAGCCTGAATTATTGAAGAAAGAAGAATTGGAAGAAGAAAATATTTTTAATGAAGAGGAATTAATGGATTTAGGGCAAGAAGAAGTTCGATTTATCCGCTATGATGAATGGCATCTGGAAGATTGGGAAGAATATGCAAATATGGAGACTGATGAAGAAGAGGAGGAAGGATTAGGAAGAGGAAGAGAAGAAACTTGGCGAAATGTAGATTGGGGAGATAAGCAAGAAATAGAAAAGAAGGAAGAGAAAAATGAAGAAGGAAAGGAAGAATCAGAGAAGGTAATAGAAGAGGAAGAAGAACCGTTGGTGAATATCTTCAGTAACTGGACTGAAGTGTTTGAAGAAGATTGGGTAGAAGAGATGGAAGTGGATAGAATTGACGAAATTGGAAAGGAGGTGTTGGAAAAATAAAGGGAAAAAGAAAAGGAAAAATTTTAAAAAGAGAAATATTTTTTAGGAAATTTTTTAAATAATTAGTTTTTTTACTGTAAGTCAACTCTAATAATTAATATTTAAATTTTATATTTTTAACTATCCTTCTTTAAATTTTTAAAAATATTAGAGTTGATTATTTTATTTAATATTTTTGTATCTGCCCCTCATTATTTTTCTAGGGCTTCAATTTTTTTGATTGGGGAGGCTAACGGGACTCTTTGTCCCTGAAAATTAAAAATTAGTAAAAGTATGTTTTACACATACTCTTCAAAAAATTTGATTTTTCCAAAAATTCCAAAAAAATTTAAAATATTAAATAAAATTAAATAAAAATATAAAAGTGCAAGTCAATAAAAAGGAGAAAAATATTTTTAAAAAAAATTGGACTTTGTATCTTTCTAAAAAATACAAAGAAGATTTATGTGATTCGTTCTGTTTTTCAAAAAGATAAACGATAACAAAGTAATTAAAAGTGCATGTATAAGTTTAATCGTTTATCGAGAAACCGTGAACGGCTCATTATAATGGCCAAAAATTTTGGCTTAAACTTGTGAATGAACACATGATGTTTTTTGGCACTTTTTTAATGGAAAAAGTTATATTTTGATAAAAATATTTATTGTTAGCTGGCTTGCCAGCTAACGGCTTGTTTGGATTAAAAGGTGCAAAAAATGGATTTTTTGCTAGCTGGCTGATCGAAATTTATTTTCGATTAGTAGCGAAAGAAAGAAAAATAATTGTTTTCTCTCTTGACGCCCACGTTTCTAGCTAGAGCTAATACATGCACTAAAGCTTTGTCCTCTCAAGAGAAAAAAAAAATTTGTGAGCCGTTCAATTTTGGCTTTTCTTTTTAAAAACCCCGCCTCCCCCCTTTTTAAGTTTTTTGCTGTCCCTTATTTTTTGTCAGTTTACTCAAAAATTATAAAAAATTTAAAAAATAAAATAAAAATATTTTAAAAAATAATTTGAATTTTTATTGGAAATTATTAAGGAAAAAATTTAAAAATCTAAATTTAATTGGAAGAAGAGAAAATTTTTTGGGAAGATTTAAAATTTAAATTTGTAATTTACTGTGTGCTACAAAAGCTTTTGTAATATGCTCTTCTTTAATGAACATGCGTTGCAATATAATAGAATCCAAAAGCATATAGAGCAACAAGAGACAAAACAATCCCGAAAAAAAGCCAAACTCCACATTCCCATTCAACATAACGTTTTTTTCGAATATTGTTTTGACCTTCGGCTACATTGTTTAAAATATCGTTAAGGCATCCTTTAAAATTGCTTTTCGCATCATCCTTGTGGAAACTTATCGTGTTTTTACATGTTCCTCCATTCGATTTGTTTTGACAGCCTAAAACATATTTAGCTTTTAATTTTGTTGAATATTGACTCTGTATAGGACACTTTTAATCGGTTCTTAAGAAGTCAAAAGAAGAAATTAAAGTATCCCATTAAACTTTAGAAATTCACTATGAACAAAAAAACCATCGATCCATAACTGAAATCTCAACAGTTATAGTTTTAAATTTATTTTTAAATACGAAACCACCTTTTCGCGTTTTTTGAATACTTCGTTTGTAACGGTAATTAGGAAGGTTTACAGGTATTCCTATAGGCATATTTGGATCTCCACCGTAGTATTGTGGATATCCTCGATAAGGAAGAGGTTGGATTGGCTCAGGCTGAAAATGTTGCGGAAATTCAATTTCTTGTTGTTGAGGAATTGTGGGTGAGTTTTGCCTTCTAAGTAAAAAATTTTGAAAATTAATTTCGGGAGGCCATCGACATGTTAAGTCCGATAATGCACTTGAGAGAATAGAAAGGACAATAACTCCTATACCACTAAAAATTCCATGGAAAAATAGTGCAGCTTGCTTGTGACTCAAATGTAGATATGCATAGCGCTTCTTTCGAATCAAATATGATGAATTAGTTTCGAAGTCATTCTGAAATTTGGGCCATTAAACTATTTAGGCAGAATTTTTAAATTTTTTTGATTACGACACCTAAACAGAGTGGAACTAAGCAGAAAAACTAAAAACTAAACTAAGAGACTAAGATGTTCGGAGAGACTAAGATGTTAAAGAGAGAATAAGATGTTCGGAATACTATTTTTATGTAAAAATATTTCAATCAACCTCAATTTCTCGACCAAAATATTTTTTCAAAATAGGCAAATCCATTCTCTCATAATTTTTTCGTGAGTCTTCACTCAACTTTGTTTTAAAATTACTCAAAAATGTCATAATATATTTAATAATTCTATCAGCAGATTTTTTAATTTCACTTTTTTGCGTTTTGTTTAAATTGCCTGTATCTTTGTCGGTCTCTTCTTTTATTAAATTATTTTCCGTGTGTTTTTCATTTTCTTCAATTTTTAAAGCATTACCAAAGTCAATTAAATAAGGAAATAATTCTGAAAATTCATCTCTTAATTTGTTTTTATTGTTCCAATTTTTGAGGATATTGCCGAGAAAAACTCTTAATTCCTCCGACAATTTTTCTCCTTGTTTTTTGATTTTACTGAGCTTAAAATAGAGCTTCTCTATGGGCGTTTTCTTCGTTATAAAATTTTCAATAACAACCACAAACGAATTAATTTGTTTAAACTCATTTAAGAACACAATGTTTTTACTGTTTGAAGCTTTATTTCTTATCCAATCAATTGGTCTTTTCAAATAATTGAATATTTTCTCAATTAAACGATCCACAAAACTTTTATTCTCCCCATTACCAAAAAGCTGTATTGTTCGAAAATCAACAAATTCAGGCGAGAAATTGTTATTGGAATCTCCACTTACTGAAAAAAAATAATTTTATTTAGTTGATGTACATAATCATTAAGACTGCAATTCAGGGTGGTCCTTTCCAAAAACAAAAATCTTAAACATAATTAAAATTTCATATATAATTTTAAACTCCAATTTCACTATTCTTGCCTATAAATCACAGCCTAAATAATCAAGTTCAAGTGTACTAACGAGGAAAGCAACCCCGACATAGGATGTTCGAAAAAGAAAAACCAACGTTTCTTACAACTCGAATAGTCTATGCAAAATAACACTCACATTTAAATTCAACATCATTAATCAAATTTATCATTTCATTCACCAAATCATTAGCAAAATCATTGTCTTGGTTTGATTCATTTACTTTATATTGTTCAAACAATTTAATAGACATTTCTTTCAACAATTTTTTTATCGAATCAAAATTAATTGACTTAATCGTTGCTAATTGCTCGTTGGATATTTCCAACAAAATTAATTTATTTCTGTTTTCGTTATCATCTTTTCCTGCAACTTGATTCAACGCTAGAGCTAATGCTATATATGCGGCACGCAGATAATTCGAGCTGAATAAAATCGAATCCTTTTCATTGTGGTTTTTTATCATTCCAGTATTTAATTTATTCAACTGTCCCAAAATACCATCATTTATCTCTCCAATAAGATTTTTGAGGATTGAAGAACCTGGTACTTTATTTAATTCATTAAAGAGTTTATCATTTGTAATTATGACTTTTTTATTGTCAATTTTGATGTTAACAAGATTTTCGACATTTATTAAAGCATTCGTAAATGCTTTAACGTTTTCTCCATACTGTTCAATGAAGCGTTTGTAGGACATGACTTGAGAAGCATTGTCTGTAAATTACAAATTCAAGCGAATAGAGGTGAAGATCTTACCAAGATTTAAAAGGCGTTTGCACGCGTATTTGAAAACTTTGTCATTCCATCCTTCAAAATTAAAGTGTCCATTATTTATTTTGTCTTCAAGCTCTTTCTTTTCATTTACTTTCATTTGATGAGTAATGCTTTCTCCGTCAACGCTTTAAAGAGTATAAGCGCTCGGATCAAGTCATCCACATGTAAAGATTTTTCAGTTTGATTAGGGGTTTCAAAGTGTTTCATAGAACAATTGAAACGAAAAAGTAAAAAACTCTTTAGTTTATCCTTATTTTCCAGTATTTCCATATAATGGCTAATACTCGGATTTTCTAGGCACTTTTTCTCAGCATTTTTCATATAATTCAGAAGCTTTTTTATTGGTTTGTTTAACCATTCAATCTACATAAATTTATAAAAATTATTACACCTTTATTTTTGCCATATTTCATATACCGTAAAACTTTTATTAACTACACTGGGTAATTATTGCTTCGACCTTCCACTGGAGGGAGTAATTAATCGAGAGGGAGTAATTAACGAGATTTGAAATTTTAACGTGTTTTAGGGTATTTATTGGGGGTAATTATTGTTTCAATCTGTCGCTTATGAGGGTAATTCGTAGATGTGGAGAAATTATTTGAGGGAGAGTAATTGATACAGGTTATACGATAATCTTTTTTTGAAATCACAATTTGTCGATAAGGTTTGAAATTTACCTTATTTTCTGTTGGCTTTTCATTGCAATTTGGCTCAAAACGCCAATTTAAAAAATGTTCAAGTGTTACAGCATTGAACACATTTTGAACTTTTGCAAATTCTTTAAAATTTACACTATCATTGACCATTTTAACCATTTTTAAATCAGGATGAAGAGCTATCATTATCTTCATTGCCACATTTAAATCGTATAATTTTTGAGTGGAAACAATTTCTAATAAAGCATTTGTGTCTTTATTTTGAATTGATTCGTACATTATAGTTGCAATATACAGTGGTTTTGTGAGCAAAAATGCTCGGAGAAGCTTTTTGTTAATCTCTGATAATTCCAAAGTCTTCGCATTTTTCATTTGAAAAAGTCCTTTTTCTTTAATGAAGAAATTATCAACACATTCAATATAAAGGTTTAAACGAATTTTTGCGTCTTTATTTTTAATTTCACCATTGAGAAGCCCCTATAAAGTATTTTAAAAATAGTAAAACTTTGTAGATCGTTGAAATTATCTAGATTTATTGAGCTTACTCTGATTGGATTCCCAATTTTGTCTTTCTCGCTTTGTATTGAATTGTCGTCACAAAATGCAGAAATTCCTCCAAATCGGGTTTGATCATTAAACATCGACATATCATTCAAAAACATATTTACACATTTCTCGTGTTCATCACATTTACTCGCATTATCTAAAATCCAAGCAATTTGATTCTTTACATGTTGATCAATTTCATCTATTTCGGAAGAAATGTCGAATTCATCCTTTGCATCGAAGAACTCTTCATTTTCTTCTTTAGACACTTCTCCATTCAAATCAACAAGATTAAAACAATAAATTAACAAAATGAAATTTAAAACAATTAGTTTTGACATTTTTCTTAATCAAAATTAAAATTATAAACGTCAAAAAATACAGTGGAAATAAAAATATTGCCTCGGCACATGTCCAGAAGTTTTCTCTACAATGGAAATCAAAAATGATAGTTTATTAATTCATCCTATTTTTGCAGCCCGATTGTGAAGATGGGCTGATTTTGCAAAATAATAAGAAAGAAAAAATTAAAATAAAAATGTGCAAAAGAAGAGAGGCAAAAATAAAATAAAAAACTAAAAATGGATGCGCCACACTAAAAAGGAATGCGCCATCGGCCAAAAAGCATGGCCGATTGCCCCCTGTATAAACCCCTTCCAATACCAACTAGAAATTGTCTTCTACTAATCATTCTTCAATAAAACAAAAAGCCTCCTTCAAACCTTCTAACCATTCACAGTAACTCTGTTAATTTACTTTAATTGTGAAATAAATATTTAAATTTATTCTTAAAATTACTCTTGGTTTGGCTAATTACAACACTATGTAGCTGTCGAATATTTTTAGTTTTAAAATTCAAAAAAACCTAAACAGTGAAATGAATGTTTTTGGCTGCTAATTTATGATTTGAGAACTAGTATCTCTAGTGAAATTTTGAAAAGATAAAAGCTTTATCAATTAGCTAGTAGAAATAATAATAGACACAAAGGTCTGAGAGTTTCCTTTATGCAAGATTCCATTAAAAAAAATTTTTTATATTATTAATTAATAATATTTATTAAAAAATTTAATTACTAAAAACAAAATTTAATTTAATGAGATGCTTCATTTAATGAACGATATATATAAGCAGGCATTAATCGTTAGCTCCACCCATAATTTTCTTTTCCACAGAGGGTGTGGCTAAAAAGATTTTATGAATGAAGACAATTAGTAAATCGTGACAGTCAAAAACAGATGCCTTTGTCGAGAAATTCTAAAATTTTATTCATTTTTGTCCTTGCCTTTCGTTTAAAATAATACATTTTTGAATATTTTTGACATGATAAAAAATCTTTACAATAAACTACTATAGTGCAAAAGAAAATTTAAAAAAATTTTTAAAGAAAATAAATTATAATTCATACAATTATGTACATTTTTAGACGTAAAATGAATTAAAGTGCATCGATTTTATTCTCGAGTTTTTAAATAATTAAACGATTAATTAAATTAAGAAATTAAATTATTTCGTTAAAAACTTAAATTAATTAATCATAGAGGAGTTAATAATATTTTAGAAAATTTTAATTTGAGGAGCTAGTGTGAGTTTCAGGAGCTATTACATTTGCGACATAACACAGAATTATAAAGACTGTTATTTCTCTTTTCTTATAAAAATAACAAACTAATGGATGAAAGAAATTGAATAGCTTTAAGTCAGCCTTAAGTCTACGACTTTTAAGTTATTCTAATTTAAAATACATATTGTTAAAATGTTTTGTGTGGTGGAATGTCTTGTATTTTTATCTTTGTAATTCTTTTATATACAAATCTTAGATATCGTTTTTGTATATCTCTATTTGTTTAATATTTTGTTACTTATAGAATTCCAAACCGTTTACCCTAATTATACAATTGACCTTACGCATATATTGAATGCTCCTATAAGAATTTTAGGATTTTGTGTTTTGAGAGATTTGATTAGTGCAAAGCAATTTCTATTTGCCCTTAAAAATATTGTTTGAATATGTTTATTAAACTTAAATTTAGATGTAAAGAAAATCCCGAGATCACGATTCTTGTCTTCATTGCAAATTTGGAATATCTTGTGATTTCCTATAAAGTATTGTATTTTAGGGTTTGATTTACCTACATATATGTAAAACATAGGATTTGTTTATTGATATGTTTAAACCGTTATTGTTACAATATTGAATGAATTTATTAATGAATAATTGTAAAGCATTATTAGATAAGTCGGTTTTTGATAGAGTTTTTGGAGATACGCTTATTAAAGGGACAAATCATCGTTTTCCTCCTAGATTTTTGGCGTAAATAAATAAACATGAAAATAATTTCATGACTTTGACACTGTTAACAATGTTAATAATTTTTCTATTATTATTTTCCTCGAGCAATTTATTCTGCTTTTACACTTATATCTGTTGCACATTGTTATTGTTTAATTTCTATCGAGATAAAGCAGTTTGTTTGTTATTATCGTTGATTCCTTTGGTAGTACTACATATTAAAGGCTGATAGATGACAATAATCCTAACTATTTGATAAGGCCCAAAGCTGATTTTTTCGAGTATAAAGGGGTGTAATTCATCCCTAGATTTACATATATGTAATATATAAATTTATTTGTATATGATGTGTTTATAAACTAACGGATATTAATAAAACGACTGACTAATTATTAAATTTTTTCACAAATCAAAAAAATTGTTTTTAACTGTTCATATAATTTTATTTGTATTAGCAATTTTAATTAATCATTCATACAATAGTAATAAAATAATTTTAATATTATAAAAACTATTTTTTGATTACTCTGTAATTTATTTTATTCATATTATTAATTTAATTTTTAAAATTTAAATATTTTCTATTTCCGATTAAATTTTATTTTTTTTATTCATTTTCGAATAATTATTCAAATAATTTAACAATTTATTTTCTTTATTTAATTATGTTTGTGCCAAATATGATGCTATTTAATATACTTTTAATTATTATGTTTAATTTAATGGTATTTAATTAATTTTTAATAATTAACGAACATTTGCGTAATTTCAAATTTTATAAACAGTCTTTGTAGACAAGTACGATTAAGTGAAAAAGACATTTAGGTTTCTAAAATGCAACATATAATAGTGATGTTCGGGAGAAGAAAAAACTCGTGAAAAGGGAAACAGGAGTCGGGTCGGGAAATGCTGGATTCGAACCCAGCCTCATTAAAAATGCCTAAGTAAGTGAAGTCACTCAACTGAACCACTAAACCATCGAGCTACAATAGGTGTCTGGAAAAAATTTAAATATATTTTTCCCCTTCCTTTTTCTTTTTTTATTTTCCATTTCCTCTTTTTATTTGTTTTTTCTCTTTAAAAATAAAATTTTATCAAAAAAAAGGCATTTTTAGTGGTGTAAAAATTTCTCTAATTAGTCGGGAATTAATATATGATAAATGGTGTTAATAGTTATATCCAGAGTTGCTATTTAGAAAATGTTAAAATTTCAATTTCGTAAGTATGAAGGCGATTTGTAAGTACTGTACTTCCAAAATAAGTACATCTGGCAGCCCTCGTAATATCCTACTAAAATATAAACATTCTAGAATGTACAAGCTGATTTTATACCATGCTTTAGTGATGAATGCCAAAGAATAGCTGTTCATAAAGATAAATGTGCTTTAGTGATAACAGAAATGAATTGGTTCACAAAACCATGGCAT